GGATTTGATTGTTCTTTACAAATATACAAATACATTCTTCTTCTACAAGGTTTAGGCTGAAGCCCATGGCTTATTTTTCCTACCCTTATCACTGTTTTTGCTTCTTTAAGCTATAGAAGATGTCAAACAAAACCTTCACAAAGAAAACAGAGGCAAAAGGAAAAAGAAGAAAAAACAAAACAAACAAAAAAAAAAAAAACTACAATGATCTTAACATTCCAGAAAAATAAATAAACAATCACAACCAACTTAGTGCAAGGATACTCTGGAAAGAAAAGCAAACAAGAAAACAGCAACGAAATAATGACAGTTTATAGTATCTCTCTTTACTTTTCAATCGCCTTATTTTTAAACATTTTTTTTAATCCATATAATGTACTGCACATCCTTAAGTCCTAATCACAGCATTGCCACAAACTTACCCCTTTAACAGTTATACAATGTTTTTTGGTATTGGTTCTCGCCCAATTTGGTTTAAACATACCTTTGTTTCTAAGTTCATATTTTTGTTTTCTTTGGTTTCAAATAGCTTCTGAAGACAAGATGGAAGGAGATTGTTGTGGGCTTTGTACAGGACAAGTAAGGTTTGAAGATTAACTATGTCCCAGAATTTCAGCGCATATAAATTTATAAATAAGGTGTTGGTAGTCTCACACTATTCTGCCCTCTTGATTATTTGTATGGCTCTTTTCTGTAGGATAAAAACTGGATTAACATTTGTTTTATATGTATTCCCTCATACCTCCACACAGTATGTCATGTAAGGAACTATGAGGGAACAATACAATAAGTATAATGAGTTTTGATTTAGGATTTCCCTATACATCATGGCAATGGTTTTAGACATTTTCCTTTTAACGAGATTTATGAGAGACTTCCAATTTAATTTGTGATCAATAATTACACCAAGAAATGTATGTTTTTCAATAGTTACACCATTAATTTTTAATGTAATTTCTTTATCTTATCTTTATGTTCAAGGATAATTTTGTTTTTTTTTAATTTAATTTATATAATAATTTTTATTTTTTTATTTATATCAACCATCTTACATAATTTAAGATATTTGACACATTGCAAATGTCGTTGAAATATGAGACGAAGAGTTTTGGGCCTAAAACAGATCCCTGAGGGACTCCACACTTTACTTTTTGCATACCGGATTTCTCATTTCAGATTTCTACATATTGATCTCTATCTTCAAGGTAACTTTTTAACCATGAATGAGCTACCCCTCTAATACCATAATGTTCCAATTCCATTAACAGTTGTTCATGATGTATAGTATCAAAAGCTTTCTGGAGGTCATGAACACACCTACTATAATTTCCTTATTGTCTATGGCAGTGGCAATCCGTTCTGTTAGACTCATCACTGCCATTGGTGTGGACCGATTTGCTCTGAAACCATACTGTTGATCACACAGGATGTTATGTTTTTCAATGAAATTATCAAGTCAAGACACAAATAGTTTTTCTAGTATTTTTGAGAACTGCGGGAGCAGGGAAATGGGTCTGTAATTTGTAAATAAATGTCTATCTCCATTTTTGAATATTGGAATAACTTTTGCTATTTTCATGCTGTTGGGGAATGTCCCTGTTTGGAAGGATTGGTTACATATGTAAGTCAGCGGTTTCACAATACTGTGTATAATGTTTTTTACTATTGTCATGTCAATACCCGACCAGTCTGTAGACTTCTTATTTGTACATTTTTTCACAATATCGATGATTTCCCTTTCTTCAACACTTATTAGAAAAATGGAATGGAGATTGTTTTGCATGGTGTCTCCTGTTTTCAGAGTTCCATTCCCATTTCGTGGCTCCGCAATTTCACTAGCCAGATTTACAACTTTTAAAAAGTTATCATCAAATTCATTAGCTATATTTAGAGTTTTATTTAGAATAATTTTGTTGTCTTTGACAAAATAATTAGGTATCTCTATTTTAGCATCACCCTTCTTTGTTATATTGTTTTGTACTTTCCATATACCTTGGGTGTTATTTTTATTTTGTTCCAATAATTTATGATAATACTCCTTTTTACTTGATCTAATAATACTTGTTAATTTATTTTTATATAGCTAATATTTATTTTCAGCTTTCTTGGTTCTTAATTTCATAAATTTTCTATACAAGACATTTTTCTTCTTACATGCAGTTTCTATTCTTCTAGTAATCCACGGTTTGTCCACAAGATGGTGTTTTTTAGTCTGTATTTTTAATGGGTAGTGTTTATCATAGGCCGCCATTATTGTGGACAAGAATACCTCATAAGCTTGGTTGGGATCACTCCTGGCATACACTTCATCCCAGCTTTGGTTGTTCAAGTTCAACTCAAGGGCAGCAGTAGCTTCTGGTGTTTTATATCTAGTAAAGTTACAGATATTTGTTTTTAATTCCTTCTTTTTCTTAAGGACATTTTGGAAAACTGCAAATACAGGGAGATGGTCACTTAGATCATGTAGGAGTAGTTTCAGTAGTGATTCTAGTTGGTTTTGTTGTAACAGGAAATAGGTTATTGCTGTACATATTGTTAATAAAATCCGTTGTTTTTTGTTCCCTTTTGGATTTAGAAGATCCACATTAATATCACCACATATGATTTTTACCTTACTGTCTCTGATTTTATCCCACATACTTACTAATTGTTCATTGAAAATATCCAGTGAGGTTCCTGGTGGTCTTTATATGCAGCAGATGGTAATATTTGATGTGTTTTCGAGTTCTATTTCAACAGTTACACACTCCATACTATTATCTATGATTTTATACATTGATATTATCTTACTACATCTAAAGGCAGTGTCGATATAATGCCACCCCTCATCCAGTTTTACCAATCCAATTCGTTGTAAACAACTCATACCCTTCCAATTGCAAAGCACTTAATTTCTCTTCATTTAACCATGTTTCAGAAACCGCAATTACACTGAACTTTTTAAATTTACACAAATAGTCCTTAAGTTCCTCTAATTTTGTATATAGACTTCTACTATTTAAGTGTAACACTGATAGGGCAGAATCATCCATTGTTACATACTTGTTGAAATTATCCTCTATATAATAGTCACAGTCTATACACATATCACCATAAAAATGTCTTTCAGGGTCGATGTCATTTTCGATATCTGAAATTTTATATTCAGTATAAACCAGCTCATCATACCCATTATGCAGTCCCAGCTGGTGTTCATAGGCGCTGCCCCTGGCTGTGTCGGTGACGTCCTCTTCGTCATCCTCTTCATCATCATCGTCGGTCTCGTTTCCACGCAGAAACAAAAAGTTTTCAGCTTTCTCAGTCATTTGTCAATGTTTTATTCATTTGTCCCGATTTGTCCCCATGTTCCACATAAGGCAGCCGGCTGTTTTTCTCACCAGAGGGAGAGTAGTCCGCTCTCCGGAGTCCAAGTCCTCGACATGTGACCCGTCCCATACGAAAGTAAGGTATACTATGTATACGATAGTATATATATGTATATATGTATATATATATACATATATATATTATATATATATATATATATAAAACTATAAATAAATAAACATAGAAAAAAGAACAGCATCCCAAGAAGGCGGAATGACGAAAACAATATGTAGAAAAAAAGAGGCCCGCTCGCATCAGTCCAGCTGGCTGGCATGACAACTCAGCGGTATTTATCCAGCTCCTTGAGTTCTTTGATCGTGATGACTTTGGCTTCCTCTGGTGTTCCATTTAATTTGATCATCACTTTACAGTTGCGTGTCCATGTTCCCTGGATCTTTCCTGCTTTCCTTCACATTTGTGCATCTCTGGCTATATCAGCATTCTTTTTGGTGAGGTGTTCATTTAAGTACACTCCAGTTCCTTTCAGCTATTTTCCTTGTTTAATCAACTCATTCTTTTGCTTCCGATTCACAAAACATATCATTATCGCAGGTTTTGTGTTTTTATTCTTACGAGGAAGCGTATGGCAAGCTGCAAGATCAGTGCTCTGAATGTGTATGTTGTTTATTTCAAGGAAAGTTAAAACTTGCCATTCCAGTGTCTCTATTTCCTCAGCTGGTGGTTCAGCATCCCTGTCCCTGCCAGACCTGTTATGATCATGTCCTCCATTCTTGTGTGTTGCTCCAGTTGATCAATTCTTTGTTCAAGACGTTCAATTTTTACGTCTTTCTCCTTTAGCTGCATGCTGAGTTGCTTGAGCTCTTCCATCGGAGCCAGCATTGTTTGCTGTTTAGCAACAGTGCTAAGCTCCCCGGCCATGTGGTTCATGGTTTTCCTTATTTCATCCAGTTCTTTGTCTCGTGCTGCGTTCTTTGCTCCTGCCATTTCTGTCTCTTTTTCCTCTTCCTAACATGCTAGCTTTGCAACCGTGATTCAAATGGCACGGGGCACCAAGGAGATGATAACATGCAACACCCTAAAACGCAAACATGTTGGAGTTATTGATGAAGCTGAAGAGCACTCAACAGCAGGGTATGTCACTACAATATCCTACAATTGTTCCATTTTCAAGTGAGTAAACGTAACATAGCTTGCTTGATGCTGCTGTTTTTGCTTGTCAGCTGGTTAATGACAGTGATGGACTCAGATTTATTTCAGTTTAATAATGTTATGCAGTGTTTAAATTACTTTATAAATAAATCTGACATGCATACAAATGAATTTAATGTATTAACTAAGGTTCAGGAGCAAGACCACACCTTAAATCACCTGACTAGCATATTTATACACAGCCAGACCACTTCACTCTGTTTGTCTGCAATTCTCTGAAGAGCACAGACAAGCAGTGCGCCAAGCAGTAACGCTCACTCGCATTAAAAGAAATGGTAAAAACCAGCCACCTACCATGAAACTCCAGCTGCACGACTCAGACGAGGATCTGTATGACAAATTGTTCCAGGTCAACCATTCTTCACCCAGTAAGCAGCAATTGGACCACAGCCAAGCGCCACAGCAGACAGTGTGTTCCGTGGTAAGCACATCGTACACATTCACACTCTCCGAATATCATCCCAATGACTCCTGACAGATCCCCAGCCTCATCTCCACCAAGAAAATCCGTAGATCATAGGAGCTACAGTCACAGCAACCTACTTCGCTCCCCATTACGTCACTCTCACCGCTCAGCCACAGGCATTTCAACATGCCACGGCAAAGTTTCACCGAGACGACAGACTCCGCGCCCACGAACTGAGGACGACATCAGCAACTGGACTGTCACCCGCCTCCGACAATCCCTGAAAGCAAGAGGCATTCCACCCCACCGCAACGACAACAAAGCAAGGCTATTCCTACTCTACAATTCCACAACAAACACTGCTGCTGCAGCAGCAGTAAATCCTGCGCTTCCTGCTTCCCCGCCACAGTCAATCACGGCCAGTCACATCAGGAGTGACATCATCGAGCAGCTCCCTCAACCACAGCCCGCCTCATCGACTCCCCCTGGCTGGGACCAGGTCGTATCACCCCCTGTGCATGCTCCCTCTGTGTCTGACTTCTCTCAAGCTATCACAGCTTTCTTCACTTCCCTGTGTTCGCAGGCTGCACCAAATCCCCGTGCACATACATCCTTTCATCCCAACCTCCCTTTCTCCTCTCTCCCTTCAGCCTCAAACAACAATACAGCTTCTGTTCCCCCTCTTCCCACCATAGCCAGTTCCTCAGCTCTCCAAGGAACCCCTCCAGTAATTCATAACACTGGCTATTCTCAACCCCCCCTTTCCTACTGATCTATCCTATCAACCCTCCGTCCCCATCCCAACCCCCTCCCTTCCCCAACACCCAAATGTATTTCCACCTCCTGTACATAATTACACACTAGCCACAACTGCTCCACCAATTCAAGCAGCCTCATCTATCAACCGTCCTTCACCCGTTTCACCGGCACTACGCCAACAAATTCTCTCTGGTAATTATGTAGATCTAGCTCAGCCACTCCACCCATCCACAACTGACACAAGACAGCCTAGGGAGATGCAAACCATTTTCGGTTCAGTTTAGCTCCGCGACCCACTTCCATCCAGGTCAAAAGATCTAACACCAGCAGAATTTGCCTTAGCATTTCTACTCCGTGACACCATCTGTTCAGATTTTCCATCTCGCAGGTCCGAGCTTGACAATTATCTCTCCATAATCCCAGACATGGCCCTGCGTTTTAGCGGCACAGGCTTTTACAGCTACCATGTGCATTTCGCTAACCAGGCAGCTGGCCGCATCCAGCAGTTCATACAGAACACATACTGGGGCACACTTGACTCTGAATTGTATTGCCGAATCTTTGCCACCTGCACCTCCCTCTCTTGTGAGCTATGTGGAACCCCCTCCCACCCTGCCACAGCAAGCATTGTCAGCGCTCCACCACCTCGTCTACGTTCATCTTCCTCTCACAACACCACAGTCTTTAACTGCTTGTCATCTGCTACACCTCCACCTCCAATCATACCTAAGCTCTTAGACATTCGACCCGCCGTCAATGTCCCCATGCCAAAAGGAGTACGCAACAAAGGTAGGCCCATCCTAAACCAAGCCCGAAGGACGGTTTGCAATAACTTCAACCACCTTGGCTGCACCATCTCCAACTGTCGCCTCCTACACGTCTGCTCCTTCTGCGGGGGGGCTTATGCCAGGTGCACCTGCCCACATAACCCAATACGCCTGCCGGCTGACTAACACAGCATCTCAGCTCACCCAGTAAGGTAAACGCTCTAGCTGTAGCTCAATATATCACCCAGACAGAGAGTTTGTCAACTTCCTTCTTAATGGCTTCACTCACGGTTTTCATCCTGGCATAGACATTCTCCCAGACACTTCACATACCTGTCAAAACCTTCAGTCTGCTCTCAAGGAACCCAACACTGTTGATTCCTTACTAGCAAAAGAGGTCAAAGAGGAATTCATGATAGGCTCATTTAAAGAACTACCTTTCCCTGTGTTTCTTTACTCAAGAAGAACTTCCTTCAGCTTTTGCTTTGCAACACATGAGCAGACACTCGTGTGTTTTTCTTACATCTCTGAGCTTGCCTTCTTCCAGTAAGCAGATGGGCACCTGTCTCTGCTGTGAACCATGCAAGCTGTACCTGTCTCCTCTGTGAACATTTAACCACCACAAAGGAGACAGTGAAATGTCAGCAGTCATCTTGACATCTACAGAAGAAGTCTGCACATGCTTACTCTTATAATTATGTGTTGTGAAAGTGAATACACTGCTGCAGATTCATTCCCCACCCTTTAGTGTATGCAGCGTCATGTAACTAGGGACCACCCTAAGGATAATAAAAAGAGAGGAGACGACAAGATACACTTTATAGGAGATTGTAATTGAACGTATCTCTGTCCGTTTTCCTCAAGAGTAAGAAATCTAATACCATTGTCTTTCTCTTCTTTGTGTTTGAGTCATTTGTTGCAGGTTTTAGACCCAACAATTGTCCACCTCAGGCCCTGAGTTCCGCCATCTCTTAGGTTCCTCTGGACTATTGCTGCAGACACGTACGTCAGCCTAACTGACATCAATAAAATAAAACTAGAGTAAACTGCCATTGAGTTTTAACGTTAATCACCTTAAATTAAGGAAAGTCCACAATTAGTTACTTCATTATCTGTTCAACATTAATGTTCTTTTATTTCAACAAGAAGAACAAAACATTATCCTTTACATTGAAGTCATTTTCTCCCATCAAATTGCTAACCAGTTCTTTCTGTATGTCTCTGAGCCCCCAGTCTCCTAGGTTGCTCTGGACTGATGCTACAGATGGTTGGCTGCTGCACACCTGCCTGACTCCAGCCTCATCGTCTATGATTGTCTGCCTCAGGCCCTGAGCTCCTTCTTTTCTTGGGTTTCTCTGGACTATTTGGGTTCCTCTGGACTGTTACTGCAGACATGAACATTAACCCTACTGACATTAATAACATATAACTATAGTTAACTAGTTTTAGGCCTGCGTTACACTGCAGAAAATGATGGGCCAACTCATCTCCCGTGCAACACATTTATTTTGAACAGGACTCCTGTGAACACACAATTACAAACCGGTGAGCAGGAGCACACGCTGCATCTTGTTTCAACTCTCATCACGTACTGACTAGACTTCTTCTAATCTATATTCTAATAACCAAAACATGTAAACTCTGAACTGAAATGTTACAAGTGGCATGACTGTCTCAACGTTTATAGTTTTTAATCACATACATCCTTTCCTATGAACTGCCAAAATCACATAACGCATTAACTTGATAAACAAATATCCAAATATACTCAAAATGAGGTTTTATAGTGTTTTTAAGCATTGTTTTTAACCTTTTATTAACTGCATGTATTACATTGAATCTCTTCTGAACAAATGTCTTTTTAAACTCTATTTATGTCCTATTTATTCCCTATTTATTCTCAATGTAATAAACCAAAATTATTCTCCACTTTCTGTTCTACGCAAATGTCACATAGTGTAGCTTTACTCTAAAACACACTCATGTTAACAAAAATAGACTCATCACTGTCTAAGCATTGATATGAGACCACACGTTCACTCTTTAGCTTAGCCTTGCGTTCAACTTAGCTCTTCACCTCACTCTGTATCTCGGTTTACACAAGCATCTGCTTGGAATAACACATCTACTCTACTTGACATAAGTTTTGGCCATTAACTCATGCTTACACAGGGATTATGTGCATCTAAAGTAGAAAGTTTTACCGATCAGAGCTAATACAACCTAAAACACTTCTCTGGTTCATTACCGCGATCGCCGCGCACTGCGAGTCCGCCATTTTAGATACACCAACGTGACGAGTCGCCTTCACGGACTCATTAACTTGTGAACTCGTTCTGCAGATCGACATTCTTTACATTCTAAGGCACTTATAATCTACCACTACTGTTGTCTTATATTAATATATTGTTTACAATCCAGCTTACCTGTGAATACACAATTACAAACAGGTGAACAGGAGCACACGCTGCATCTTGTTTCAACTCTCATCACGTACTGACCAGACTTCTTCTACCGTCAGCTACTGATGCGTGAAATACAGAGCGCCCTCTGCTGGCGAAACTCATATTAAAGCTGGATTCAAACCAAGCAGACATAACAGTAGTGTTCCTGTAGAAAGTTACCTTTAGAAATAAAAATAAAATGGGGGGGGGCAACTATTTTTATTCATCCATCTATATCATCCATCTATATCATAGTGCCACACCTGCTGACTGTAATCAAATTAAATTAATTCAACATGGTCCATAATTCCTCATATCCTAACCCTGTAAACTGAATTCATTTTGTTTCATCATTACATGAGCTGTTACTGTTGCTGTTGCTTTAATGTTGCTGCTGTCCCGTCTCTCTATCTCACCCTAGTTCTCTCTCTCTCGTCCTCTCTCCCACTCCCTCTCCCTCTCCCTTACTCATTCTCTCTCTCCTTCCCTCTATCTTGTTCTCTGGCATGAGTCTGGTCCTGCTCAAGGTTTCTGCCTGTTAAAAAGAAGTTTTTCCTTGCCACTGTTACTCATGTAAGATGAGATGGACAAAAACCCATATTAGGTTGGGTCTTGATAATTCATCAAACAATGAGCGTGGTCTAGACCTGCTCTTGTTCTTTGAAAAGCGTCTTGGGATGACGACTGTTGTTAATTGGTGCTATATAAATAAAATTTGATTGATTGAACTTCTGGTGTTACTTTGGATCTGCAGAAGCAGCCTTAAGATCTTTGACTCCCTCTCAGAAGCACTGTGCTGGAGTCTCACTAACAATCACAGACTCCCATTCGTTCTACACCTCCGAGACAACTTCCTTGTTGTCACTCCACCATTATCCCCTCTTAAGTTCGGACTCACCACCCTCACAGACTGCTTTTCAGAGTTGGGAATACCTCTTTCAAAGGAGAAAACTTCAGGGCCTAGCACCTCAATGGAGTTTTTAGGTATTACTCTCGATTCAATTTCCCTCTGAGCATCTCTACCTCCGAAAAAGATGCAGTGCATCACCCTTCTTCTCTCTAACTGTCTCCTAGCAGATAGATGCACCAAATGCCAGTTACTGGCCCTCCTTGGCCACCTCAACTGTGACATCTAAATCATCCTCCAGGCAAAATCTTTCCTATCCAATCTCCTAACAAAAGCTGCAGCAGTCCCCTCCTGGCATGACAGTGGTCTTAGTTGAAGCATGCAAAATGGAGATGAACATGTGGCAACATTTCTTGTCCTCTTGGAATGGCATTTCTGTCTCCTACGACTGTTTCATAACCCAATCAGAAGACATTCAACTGTTCACAGACGCAACTCCCTCTATAGGTTTCGGAGGCTACTTCCACCTGGCCTCCAGAACTAAAAGACCTCGACTCGAAATCCCATTTCACTGTAGCCCTTCATGAACTCTACCCCATCACCATTGCAGCCTTACTTTGGGGGCAAGAATGGTCAAGAAAATCTATACTTATACACTCAGATAACACAGCAGTCATAGAAATCCTGAACAAAGGCAGATCTCATTCCTCGTCAATCATGCAGTTTCTGCGCAAACTCACACTAATAATAATAATAATAATAATACATTTTATTTGTAAAGCGCTTTTCACAGACTCAAAGATGTGTACATGAATAAAAACATACATCAATATGCAATAACATACATCAATATCAATTAAAATCAAGTAAAATCAGGTAAAATCAACAATCAACAGAGGGGGGCTAAGGAAGATGAAAAACAGTGCAGAGGGGTGAGTTTTGAGCTGGGTTTTGAATCTGGTAAGGTTGGTGCAGTTTCTGAGGTCAAGTGGGAGTGAGTTCCATAGGGTGGGGGCGGTGACTGAGAATGCTCTGTCCCCCCAGGTTCGGTGCTTGGTCAAGGGAACTGTGAGGAGGTTGGCATCGGTGGAGCAGAGGGTGCGGGGGGATGTAGGGGTGGAGAAGATCTTGCAGGTAGGGGGGGGGCCTGGTTGTGGAGTGCTTTGTGGGTGAGAAGGAGGATTTTGTACTGAACGCGATAGGTGATGGGGAGCCAGTGGAGGTTCTGGAGGACGGGGGTGATGTGTTGGTGGGAGCGTGTATGGGTGAGGAGGCGGGCAGCAGAATTCTGGATGAGCTGAAGTTTTTTGAGGAGAGTGGAGGTAGTGCCGTGGAGGAGACTGTTGCAATAGTCTACACGGGATGAGATGAATGCATGTATGAGGGTTTCGGCTGCAGAGTAGGAGAGAGAGGGGCGATGGCGGGCAATGTTTTTGAGGTGGTAGTAGGCTGTTTTGGTGATTTGCTTTACATGTTGTGTGAAGGTGAGGTTGCTGTCAAAGAGAATACCAAGGTTGCGTGGGGGGAGGGGGAGAGGCTGGAGTTGTTAATGGAGAGATGAAAGTCTGTGACTGTGGAGGTGAGGGATTTTGGGCCAATGATGATGAGATCGGTTTTGTCGTAGTTTAGCTTTAGAGGGTTGCTGTCCATCCAGTTTTTTACATCAGTGAGGCAGTTTGAGAGAGAGCGTTGGGTCTGGGGGGTGATGGAGGTGGAAGAGATGTACAATTGAATGTCGTCAGCATAGCAGTGGAAATGGAGATTGTGTTGACGGATGTGGCTGAGAGGGGGGAGGTAGATGATGAAGAGCAGAGGACCCAGCACCGAGCCCTGGGGGACACCTTGGGATGCGAGGGCAGTTGTGGAGGAGCAGTTGTTGATGTGGATGAAGCGATTCCGGTCTGTGAGATATGAATGGATCCAGTTGAGAGCAGTGTCTGTGATATTGAGGAGGGAGTGTAGGCGGGACAGGAGGATGGCGTGGTCAATGGTGTCAAAAGCGGCGGAGAGGTCATGGAGGATGAGGATGGAGAGTTGGCAGGAGTCAGCAGAAATGAGGAGGTCGTTTGTGACTTTGATGAGGGCAGTTTCGGTGCTGTGGATTGGTGATGAGAGATGGTGGATTGAGATGGCAGTAGAGCAGACGAGGTCGAGGGTGTGGCTATGGGAGTGGGTGGGGGAGTGTACATGCTGGGTGAGTTTGAGGGTGTCGAGTAGATCCAGAAAATCAGAGGCTTGTTTGCAGGTGGGGTTGTCGATGTGGAAATTGTCCTGTTACTTGGAGACTTCAGAGGATGAGATGGTACTTAGTTGGGTGACCAGTTCACAGAAATCAGAAAGGAATGATGGGTGGGGCTTTGGAGGGCGGTAGATGGTGACAATGACCAGTGGGGTGGGGCCAGGGAGTTTGACAGAAATGTGTTCAAATGAGTGGACAGACTGGGTGGGGATGGGGGTGGTCTTGAGGGTCTGCTTGTGACTTCCGGTCATGTGACTAATGGCGGCGGTGCGAAACGCGTCCTCAAAGCCCCAAAGAATGGGTTAAAACTTGAAACAATGTGAAAGGAAAAAGTAGCATGTTATGAAGAAAATATTTGTGGGATGCCTACGAAAACAAGAGCGAGAGAACGGAGAGAGAACAACGCTGAGCTAGACCGAGAATTGAGCCAAACAGCACAGGGACAAACAATGACTGATGCCGGCGAGATCAAACACCTGTTTGCGGATTTGAAAGACTCAATAACTGGAGAGATCAAAGCGCTCAGAGCAGCGTTTACAGAATTCCGAGCTGAAACAGAACGGGATATGAAGAAAGTAATGCAACAAAATACAGAACTTAAACGAGACGCGGAAACAACGAACGCCAGAGTGCTGGAACTGGAAGCCAGGGTGAGCGAGCTCGAGGACGAGAATGTTACTCATCAGAAAACGGTGAAACAATGTAACAGTCTCATTGTGGAGATGGGGGACCAGATGGATTATATTGAAAATAAATCGAGACAGAACAACGTTTGCATTTACAACATTGCAGAAAGGAGCGAAGGGAATGACGTTAATGCGTTTGTACAGAAACTGTTTAAAGAAGCTTTACGCATGGAAACTGTCCCACAAATCACTCGAGCACACAGAATTGGCGCATGGAAGGAAGGGGGACATACCAGGAGACCGATCATAAAAAATCTTGTGAACTATGATGGTAAAAGAGACCTTCTTAAAGCAGCTTGGTCAAAGAAGGAAATATTATTTAATGGCGCACGTATCTACATGGATCATGACTTCACGACCAGAGTGAAACAACAGCGAGCGGCATATAGAAAGATACGGGAGCACCTGCGTCATCACAAGATTAAATCACATATTCTGGCCCCTGCAAGACTTAAGGTGTTTAACGCGGATGGCAACACAACAATCTACGCAAACGCTGAAGAAGCAAGGAGGGACTTGGAGCAGAGAGGTATTTATACAACAGAAGGAGGAGCAGAGGCTGAACGACCACTGTCTATTCCAGCCCAATAGTGTAATACAATCTAAGAACATGAGGACCAATTCCCATAGGTGAAATTATAAGTGAGGAAACCTGAGATTTTGATGAACTATTTCACCTATGAACTCGTTTTGAATAAGGGCTGGACTCACTATCCATAGGGATCTCTCTCTCTCTGTATCTTTCTCTCTCTCTCTCTCTCTCCCTCTCTCTCTCTCCCTTTGTGTGTGCGTGCGTGTGTGTGTGTGTGTGGGGGGGGGGGGGTTGTGCAGGTGGGGTGAGAGGGTGGGGGGGAGTTAAGATAATTTTGGCTAATGGGGACAATATTATTATTACTATTATTATTATTTCCCTCTTTCTCTCCTCATGGGATCACGTTTCGTTTAGTTTAGTGTAGAGACAGAGAAATGAAGTATAATTTGACTAAGACGTAAATGGAGAGAAAATATATATTTTGAAGTAGGAGAAGTAACTCTGTGTTTTGCTTGGAAGTACTTAAGTTTTTTTTTTTTTTGTCTCTTGCTTTATATTAATGCTGGCTGTATGCTACAGGATCAAAAGACCACAGATAGCGGGCTAAGAGAAACGGTTGACACTGCGGACATGAGTAAATTGTAAATTTATTTGGTATAAATTTCAGAGGCGACTAGAAGTACGCCAATACAATCATGAAGAGATACATGGTTGAAATAAATTTATTCTCCGGAATTGACATTTTTAGGTATCTTATTTTGATTTGTTATTTTTGCCTCTCTGTTTTTATTTTTTGTATTTGTAGGTGGGGTAGGTGTGTTGCTTTCCTTTTTTTTCCCCTCACCACTACATTACTGATAAACCCATATGTATTAATAAGGGGGAGAGGACCGATAGACCCATGCAGTGTCACCTGATAAATGTGTGATCTGAAGTTAATATCGTTGAATGCTAATGGTTTGAACAATGCAGTGAAAAGAAAGAAGATTTTGCTTCAGATGGAGAGAGACAAGGCAGATGTAATTTTTTTGCAGGAAACACACCTGAGGAGACAGGATCATGAAAAGCTAAAGAAAGAATTCAATAGTCAGGTATACTATAGCATGTATACTTCTGCGAGCAGAGGAGTAGCAACAATAATTAAGTCCAAAATAGGTTTTGAGAAAGAAAGCTGTACTAAAGACAAAGAAGGGAGATTTGTGTTAGTCGTTGGAAAAATAAATTGCTTGGATGTATCATTTCTTAATGTTTATTACCCACCAGACATAGGACCAGATTTCATGCTAGAATTAATAGAGTTAATGACTACAAAATGTAAGGGTATTGTTGTTATAGGGGGGGACTTCAATCTGGTATTAAATCCAAAATTAGATACATCTAATGCTAACACACATAGGGCAGAGAAAAAGGCGAGTATCCTTAGGAAAACGTGTACAGAGATAGGTCTAGTGGACATATGGAGAATGTTCCACCCTTATAGGAAAGAATTTACCTTTTACTCAGGGAGACATCTAGTCTACAACAGATTAGATTATTTTTTTATGTTTAAAAAAGATGTATCACTGGTTCAAAACTGTACAATTAGCTCGATAAATATAGCAGACCATGCTGCAATTTCACTTATAGTTAAATTATAAAAGACAAAAAGAACATCAATTTGGCAATTAAATAACTCCCTCCTGCAAGACAAAAGCTTCGTAGAAAGAATGCAAAACATAATAACTGAATATGTAAAAATAAATGACACTGAAGAAATAGACTCAATTACTTTGTGGGAAGGAGCTAAAGCAGTTATAAGGGGACACATTATTGCATATGCATCTGCAAAGAAAAGGACAAGAGAAGCACAACAAAAACAGCTAATAGAACAAATAAAACATTTGGAGAATAGACACAGTGAGACCAAAAGTGACGAGGATTGGAAGAAATTGAAAGAAAGACGGACTGAATTAGACAATTTGCGTATAGTTGAGATTGATAGATTAATAAGATTCACACAACAAGAAACATATGATGGAGGACCAAACTCTATGAAAATCCTCGCATACAAACTTAAAAGTCAAATAAAAAAAGCTTATATTACAAAATTAAAAGTAGAACAAGGTGAAATAAGAACAGACAAAGAAGAAATAGCGGAGGAATTTGCTAAATACTATGAAACTCTGTACAAAGAGGAAGTCAAAACTGATAATGCTCAGAGTAAGATATTTTTAAGGAAGCTTCAGTTGCCAAAGGTAACCCCGGAAAAAAACAGGGATCTGAGTAAAGCAATTACTATAGAAGAAATTAATCAGCAAATACAAGGACTGAAAAAAGGAAAATCACCTGGTGATGACGGATTCACAAATGAATTTTATAAAGAATTTAAAACACAAATAGCTCCACTACTTAAGAAAGCATACAATTATGCGCTAGAAACAGGTAAATGGGCTCAAACATGGCAATCTTCAATTGTAACATTAATTTTGAAAGAGGGAAAGGATACTACAAAATGCTCATCGTATCGGCCCATATCGCTGCTAAATACTGACCATAAAATAATATCAGCAATACTAGCAAATAGATTAAAGACCACAATTACTGATGTGATTGAGGCAGATCAATGTGGATTCATCGCTGGAAGGTATTTGGCAGACAATATTAGGAGAACAATACATATAATGGACCATGCACAAAATAAAAACATTGATGCAATATTATTAACATTGGATGCTCAAAAGGCCTTTGATTTAGTGAGCTGGCCCTTTTTGTTTGAGATGCTTGACAGTTTTGGGGTAGATAACAGATTCTGCTCATGGATACAAGCAATATATAGTAGTCCAACCTCAAGAATTAAAACTAATGGCACCTTGTCAAGAAAAATTCGAATACAGAGAGGGACTAGACAGGGAGACCCTCTCTCTCCCCTCATCTTCGCTATGTATATAGAAGTATTAGCTGCTGCAGTGAGAGAGAAGATTGAGATAAAAGGAATACAAATTGGAAAAGAAACTCATAAATTGGCACTTTACGCTGATGATATTATTGTGTACTTGACATCTCCAGAAGAATCAATAAATGCCTTAATGAAAACAATTGCTGAATTTGGTAAGGTCTCTGGGTATACATTGAATAGGAGTAAATGTGAATCTTTGATAATAGGGAGACAACCCAGCCAGGCATTGAAAGATTGTTATAACTTCAAATGGGAGAATAAGAAGGTAAAATACCTAGGCATTAATATTAGTAAAGACTTAAATGAATTGTATGAGAACAACTATTGTGCAATGATTACTAAGATAAGGCAAGACTTGAATAGATGGGGATTAATGCCACATAGTTTGTTTAACAGAGTAGAAATTATTAAAATGATGGTTCTTCCACAATTCCTATTCTTATTTCAGACATTGCCTATTGTTGTACCAGAGAAATACTTTAAAAATTGCAACAGAATTATTTCAAATTTTATCTGGAACAACAAAAAGCAGAGAATTAAACTGAAAAGTCTTTGTCAAGCAAAGGAGGAAGGCGGGTTGGGGCTCCCAAATTTACAGAGTTATTTCTTGGCTACACAACTCCTCACAGTAATGAAATGGATAGAGAGGGAAACAGAAACTAAATGGATTAATATAGAAAAAGAAACGGCAAGAATATCCATTGGGACACTGCCATTTGATGGAAGAACGCAATGGAAAAATTACACAGGGCAGAACTACTGCATTGACAATACATTGGCCAACTGGAAATGTGTTTCTAAAATGTTAAAAATAGACAATGAATGTGTGCTAGTGAGAGAAATGGCAGAGGATCCTGATTTCATTCCTAATAGAACAGATAAAATCTTGGTAGGGTGGGCGAAAAAGGGATTGACAAATTATTCACAATTAATTACAAATCATACAATTAACTCCTATGATATAATATCTCGGAAATATGAATTAGAATCAAAACATTTCTTCAAATACCTGCAGGTTAGAAGTTACATAAGTAGATTTTTAGCAGAGGAAACATCAGAGCATGAACTGATAAGATATATGACACAAAATTGTAATAAAAACAAAGGAAACCTGTCAAAAATCTATAAGATCCTGCAGAAGCACAACAATGTAGAGAGTAACATAAAAGAGAAGTGGGAAAAAGATCTAAAAATTAATATAACAACAGGAGAGTGGAGAAGAACATTAGGTGGAAACTTTACAATATCCCAATCAAAGTATTGGAGGGAGTTCTCATGAAAAGTGAGTATGAGATTCTTCATTACACCTGAGAAAGTTAAGAGGTATTACCCCCGACTGGATAATAGATGTTGGCGAGGATGTGGAGAACAGGAGGCAAATTATATGCATATGCTCTTTACATGCCCAGTACTAATACTGTACTGGGAAGGAGTCCAAGAAACCTTAAAGCATATATTTGAGTTTAAAGAACCTCTGCAGGTACAGCATTGTTTAGGTATCCATTTAGAGGGAAAGATAAGAGTAAAGGATATCTATTTTTTTAACATATTGCGAACAACTGCTATGAAACAGGTGACCAAAGCATGGAAACAATCAGATCAACCAAAATTAACGGCTTGGGTATTAACAGCAGAACAATGTCTAGAGATGGAAAGGCTAATGTTAATGAATAGGGGAAAAATGCATATTTGGAACAAGCTATACCACAAAGAAAGGTTGACAAAAACAGTAGAAATATTTAATCAAATTAAGGAGATGGATTAAAAGGTCCCCACCCCAACCTTAACATCCATGTACATACACACACAGATACACAAACACACATACATGCACCAACCCCTACCCCTACCAGTTTTCTTTAGTTTATTTAATTATATTTAGTTCACCTTATTATTTATTTATGCATTCATTTTCTGTATTTTGTTTGCCTGTATGTTTTGCCTTATTTTTGGAGATATGTCGATTTGGTTACTTTTTGGTTGTTATTTACTTTCTTTATGTTAAAAAAAAAAAAAAAAAAGGGAAGGAAGAGAAAAAAAATGTAAGGTATAATATTGTTAAATGAAAGCCTGACTATGTTTGTGAAAGAAAGAAGCCTTGCAATAAAGTAGTAGAGGGTCTGCTTGTGGATGAATGCAACGCCACCGCCTCGTCCAGTGAGGCGGGGTTGGTGCAGGAAGGAGTAACCGGGGGGCGTGGCTTGGTTTAGTGGGAAGAGATCGAGATGATTATGCCAGGTTTCGGTTAAACAGAGGAAGTCCAGGTTATTGTCTGTTAAAAAGTCAGCCATGATGTGCCCTTTGTTGTTGAGGGAGCGGTTGTTTTGAAGGGTCACCTTTGGGGGAGGGGGCTGTGGGGTGGGCAGTGAGGCAGGGGGAAGGCAGCGGAGGTTTGTTTGATTTCTTGTCCTTTGTTTTGCATGCATGGGATTTGAGCAGGAGGATCTAGTAGTTGTGATTGTTTGAATAGAAAAGCTGTAGCGAGATCCTGGTGAGATGACAGAATGGCAGAGAGTCTCTGTGATTGGAGGGTGCAGTACCAGTTTGGGTCGGGTGGGGGGGAGCTTGCTGTAGTGGAGGCGATGGGATTGGTGTGCAGTACCAGTTGGGGCCCGTTGGGGGAGCCGGTGGTGGGGATGGTGAGGGCGAGGGTCTCGGAGGGGGGGCTCTGGAGGGCGCTGTTTCCAGGTGGGGTAGTGACAGGCAAGGAAGAAGAGGATGACAAGGAGAGTGTAAACAATACTAGTCAGTTCACCATCAATTTATTCTCAGGGCAGCGCATGTTCCCGGATACTAAAACACCGTTGCTGATGCTCTGTCTCACTTCTCTTTCCAGAAATCCAGACATCTGGCCCCAGAGTCTGATCTCCCCTACATAACTCCCCAGCTAATAAACCTCACTCATGCCTCACAAGATGTAATTATCAACAGTCTTGCTCCCTGCACTCTTATCTTATTACCTGACAGGCTGGAACTGCTTCAAGTCCTACCACTCCGCATACCAGCTGCCCTTCCCATCTCTGGACATCGTATCCATCTGCAATTTCATAACTCATACTCACACCATCCAAAATATCCGATCCTCGACCATTCAAACCTACCTTGCTGGCATCAAATTCTTCCTCAAACTTATCACCGGCTCTCAATGCACCGCTATCTCCCACTCTCACATAACCATGCTAATCAAAGGTTTTAGAAAACAGGAACCTACCATCCCCATTAAGCACCTACCACTCACCTCTGACTTACTCAGCCTCTGCATTCATACCCTACGTTCAGGCTACTCATCCCCAATGGTTGATTCTACACTAGAATCAATGTTCCTGCTTGCCCTCTTTGGTTTCCTCAAATGCTCCGAATTTGCTCCGACCTCTTCTGTCTTCAACCCATCTTATCATCCCAGACTATCAGATATCGCAGTAACCACTTCAGATTCTCTCATATTTACACTCTGATGTAGCAAAAAATATCAGCTTGGGATCTCTTTCACTATTTACATCTTCTGCTTAAATTCCTACCTCAGTCCATTTGAACCACTCATCAAATGCATCAGCTCCAGGTATACAGCTCAAGGATCACCTCACGACCCTCTTTTCCTTACTGAAAATGGAAAAATGGCTACACAATTCTGGTTCCATAAAAACCTGCATCAAGTCCTCCTCATGTCAGGCATAACATCAGAGCACTACTCAGCCCATTCATTCCGCATCGGCGCAGCATCCACAGCAGCCACGCTTGGCAAATCAGGTCGAACAATTCAAACCCTCAGACGATGGTCATCTCAGGCATACCTCTCCTACGTCCGAAATGATCTCCACGATCTGCATCAGGCCTACACTCAGTTAAGCTCCTTTTCATTATAACTCTTTGGGGGTTGGACTAAGCTTGGGCAGAGCTTCGATTGAGATGGAACCCCCAACCTTAGTCTCTCACTGCCGGACCTCTACAGAACCTCCCAGACCAACCAGACATGCAACACTCCTCATCAACCTCATTATCCATCACAACATACACACATCAGACAAGATATATGTACTCCTGAATTTGTATTAAATATTCAAACATACATCATTGTGGCGTGGCCATTGATAGTGAATGGTGTACTACATAAGTTCAGGACTCCAGGCAGGCGGAGGGGCTGTTTCTGTTGCTGTTCTAATATCAAGTGGGAAGATTTTTGATTTTCTGTCTCTAATGTATACAGCAAGGAAATGCTGGTTTTGGTTGGTTGAAAGCCAGACTGCTGCACTGCTGCATTCTGGGTCATCTGCAGAGGTTTGAGTGTGCATGCAGGGAGGTGCGCCAGTAAGGAGTTGCAGTTGTCAATTCGTGGTATTAACACAGCCTGTACCAGGAGCTGTACTGCACACTTTCATATGGATAATGCCTGGAATGGCAAGAATTTCATTCTTAGACAGGTTAAGCTAATGCTGATGTTTTCCAGCTATTTGGGGCACAGGGCATTTACACCATCAGCCCCAGGGACATGGCCAATCCTCTTATTTTTCTAGATGACTATCTGTGGGAGAGATGATTCAGCAGGGCAAGCAGAGTTTGACAATGCACTGAGGTAAACCACAGGGCAGAGCCAAGTGCTGACCTAGTACCTTGCCCTGAAACTTTTTCTTGACATCTTTGTAACCTTTCTTGGCCATCATCCCATACAGAGAATCAAAGAGACATTTTAAACGATTGCAGGTGTGTGGCAGTTGAAAGACAGCTAATGTAAATGTGCTGGTGTGTGAGGTAAAGAAGTTGTTGTTGAAAACAATTTATTGTACGCAGCAAAACAATGCACAGGAGACAGGATGAGATCTGAAGAGCTGAGATAGCTCTGTGGGTAGGGCATCCATGTACTGACCAGGGGCCTCATGTATCAACGCTTGCGGCGCAAGAAAACCTTGCGTACGCCAAAATCGGCGCACACGTCCAGATTTATCATCGCGAAACGAGCTTCGGTTCCAGCGCTAATCAACGCAAAGTCAGGAGGTGGTGTAGAAATTGGCGTTGAGCTGATACTTGCGTTGACTGTGATTCGCACTTTGGCGACGCTGTGTGGCGGTGTTTGGTGACTCACTATATGACAAGCGTGCACCACATCCCCGTGGCCGAGCAGCACGTCGCCCCACATGACGAACCAGCAGCAGACGGAGGGATGCGAGCTGATCCCTGCCGGGCCGCCGTCCTCGCGCGGGAGAATCTCATCACCACAGTGTGAATGGGTAAGAAGTGAATACACAGTTCAATGAGCCAAATTAATTTATTTTCTCCACCAGACGCTCGAGGACATTTACGAGCCGGTCCAGCCGCTCGTTGATCTCCGCGATCCCCCTGATGATTTCTTCCTGCGATTGCAGGACCCCCTCCGCGAGGACCCTTCCACTGCGCCGCGGCTGGTGGACGCTCCACCGCTTGTCGGCGCGCTGGTGCTGATGCTGGTGCTGGTGCTGGGGCCGGGGGCCGGGGTGGCCCGAATGCCGCTGGTCCTGGCCGACGACTCCGAGCCGGCGGACGGGCTGCCGCGGGCCGGGGTTCCGCAAGCCGGCGACACGGCCGACACATTGATTTCTGTGACACAATAAAAATATTTGTTCTGCTTCTGTTTATCTGTTGCGTTTACATCTCTCTCCATGGTATCATAGGTAGTGTAATTCAGTGTTTTGAGGTCAGTTATGCACATTTCTGTTGTTTATTGCATAAAAAGTTATCGAAAAATGAAGTTAAGGGCGAAGTATAAATCACGTCTAAAAATAGACTGAATCCCGACGTTGAAATGAAGTATAAACTTAGACTAGACGTCTAATATACGTCTTTTGCTCAGTGGGATGACAAAGCATGTGGACATTTGTGTGACACGCCACTTACCCTATAATAATAATCGCCACCACCCGCTGCTCAAACGGTGTGAGGGTCTCCTCCCCCGGACCCCCACCTGTCTGGCCAGTACTCCTCCGGGGGGCAGCTGTACGCCGCTTGACCTCCACCTTGAGGTCCGACCACTTTTTTTTAATCTTCGCGGGGGTGCGTGTCTCGGAACCCACCGCATTCACCCTCTCGCAAACTTTCTCCCACTCCAAGCGTTTTTGTTTTGCACTGACGCCACTGGACAGGCTGCCAAACAAAACACGCTGTCGCTCCTCCACCTCCGCCACCAGCACCTCCACCTCGCACGCCGTAAATGTAGTTTTTCTTGTCATTTTGTCTGCGTGCGAGGACAGGGAGACCCTATTTAAATAAATCTGCATATTTATAGGAGGGCGTAACGGGGACGGGCCCAGTCACTCCGACATCTGCGCTCAATTCCACGCTGATTGGGATTTATCAAGGAAACACACGTGGATTTCGGCGCCCGCACACATTGATACATACAGATTTTTTTCAGCGTGACGGACCTTGCGTGCGCTCGTTTCTGGTATGAGTTCCACGCAAGTGTTGATACATGAGGCCCCAGGCGATTGGGGTACGAATTCTGCATGCGACACATCTGTAAGCAGCAAACTACATCTACCAGTCTTTAGGCAAGATCCTTAGTGCTATGGCCTACCTCATAAATATCAGTGCGATACCACTGAAAGCCTAACCGGCTCAGTCATCACCCGGGTTAACAAGGTCTGAGTCACATGCTGAGGGATCAGGGCATTGTGATGACAAATGGGCTACTGGAACAACAGAGAGAAGGCACAAGATGAGAACAAGGCTCTGTTGGAATGCTACCACTCCAGTAACCCTAACCAGCGAGGTTACATGAACAGGCTGAGGGATATATGGTTGCTTTGATTCACACAGTCAATGCTCAGTGTTCCAACATCCACGGCAACTGCTAGCACAACTGGAGATTGAGGAGATACAACACACAAATGCTAAGGCAAGGGGGAGCCAGGATGCCAGGTCATATGGGGGAGTTAACACTGACTCCCCCCCAGAGATATGGTACCAAGCCCCAGAGTTGAACAAAGAGCTAACTGACCTGAGAGATAAGATCATGGCTAATTCAGCTTTATTTATATGGCACTTTTCGTACATAAAGAAATGCAATTCAAAGTGCCTCACAGAGGCTAAAAACAACAATGAAGACAAAAACCCAACCCTTCCACCCACACATACACCCATGGACCCACATGCACACAAAGACACACACCCACCCTCACTCACCCACACATACACACACACACAACCGCACACAATGTGAGAATTTACGATAGAAGTTAAAGGCTAAGATGTGCTCCTGTAAACATCAACCAGTGAGGATTAATGAAGATCCTAGTCAACGTGAATGGGATGATACAGACGATTCCCACTCTGAACATCACTGAGACCAATGAGCTGGTATACAGTACAGTGATGCTTGGACATAATGTGAATACCAAGGGGAACAAAGGGCAGTGCCCAACATAGAGGAGGCCTTGGGAACTGCTAGACAAAGACGCCAAGCCTTGGACACCCAAATGAAGAGGTAGACAAGAGAGACAGAAGCCAAGCAAATAAACCAGCTCAGGGCATTTACACTACACCATCACAGAATCACAGTAGCAGACATCCAAATACAAGTCTCAGGTATGAAGAACAGCACCACACCTCACACCTACTGGCTAAAGAGGCTGAGAGATGGGTATCATTGTGGCTAAGATAAGTGGGCAAATGGATCAATACATGACAGCGGCACAGAAGGGCATTGTTAAGAACACCAGAGGAGCAGCTACACCAGCTACTGGTAGACAGGACAGTCACTTGAGATGACAGAACCAGACAGACCACTCTGTGGATTGATTACAAGAAAGCCTGAGACTCGATGCCACACACCTGGATCCTGGAATGCCTGAAGCTGTACAAGGTCAACAAGACTCTAAGGGCCTTCATTGGAAACTCAATGAGGCAATGAGGTATTAAATGTGGTATATATCAAGGAGATGCTCCGTTGTTCATCTGTGCATAATATGGACTAGAAACCCCAAGGTCAAAATGGGAAGGTGATGGAGAATGACCGAGCCAAGATCCTGTGGGACTTCCAGATACAGACTGACAGACCGACAAAATGGTAATGGCCAACCAACCGAACATTGTAATCCTAGACAAACAGCAGAGGAAAGCAGTTGTGGTAGATGTCGCCATCCCAAGCGATACCAACATCAGAAAGAGGGGAAAACGAGAAACTAGAGAAGTACCAAGGGCTCAAAGAGGAGTTAGAGAAAGCCTGGAAGTTGAAGGCAACAGTGGTGCCTGTGGTCATCGGGGCACTCGGGGTATTAGCCCCACACTGGAAAATTGGCTCCAACAGAGCGCTAGGGAAACATCGGACATCTCACTCCAGAAGAGTGCAGTCCTAGGAACAGCAAGGATACTGCACCGGACCCTCAAGCTCCCAGGCCTGGTAGAGGACCCGAGCTTGAACAGACACAATACCGCCCAGGGTGTTCTCTTTTAAAATAGAGTTGGAAATTAAAAGTGTTTTTTGTAACCGATTAATCGATTATGAAAATAATTGGCAGTGGCAGCCCAATAGTCCAAACTGCCTTCAATCAATCAATCAATCAGTCTTTATTAGTATAGCACTATTTGTACAATAATAATGGTAAATATTATCACACACACACACTGGAAAGTATTCATACCACTTCGCTTTTTCCACATTTTGTTATGTTACAGACTTATTCCAAAATGAATTAAATTCCTTTTTTCCCTCAAAAATTCTACACAGAATACCCCATAATGACAAAGCCAAAAACTTTTCTTGGAACATTTTGCAAATTTGTTAAAAATAAGACACTCAAATGTTACATATACATAAGTATTCACACCCTTTGCTGTAAAACTCAAAATTGAGCTCAGGTGCATCCTGTTTCCACTGATCAGCCTTGAAATGTTCCTCCAGCTTGATTGCAGTCCACCTGTGGCAAATTCAGCTGATTGGACATGATTTGGAAAGCCACACCTGTCTATATAAGATGCCACAGCTGACAGAGCATGTCAGAGCACAAACCAAGCCATGAAGTCGAAAGAATTGTCTGTGGACCTCCGAAACAGGGTTGTATCGGCACACAGATCTAGTGGAAGGTTACAGAAAAATATCTGCTGCATTGAAGATCCCAAAAAGCACAGTGGTCTCCATCATAAAGAAATGGACGACGTTTGGAACCAGCAGGACTCTTCCTAGAGCTGGCCGCCCAGCCAAAATGAGCAAGCGGGGAGAAGGGCTTTGGTCAGGGAGGTGACCAATAACCCGATGGTCACTCTGACAGAGCTCCAGTGTTCCTCTGAGGAGACAGGAGAACCCTACAGAAGGACCACCATCTCTGCAGTACTCCACCAGTCAGGCATTTATGGTAGAGTGGCCAGACAGATGTCACTCCTCAGTAAAAAGCACGACAGCCTGCTTGGGCTTTGCTAGAAGGCACCTGAAGGACTCACAGACCAGGAGAAACGAAATTCTCTGGTCTGATTAAACCAAGATCGAACTCTTTGGCCTGAATGCCAAGCGTCATGTCTGGAGGAAACCAGGCACCGCTCACCACGTCGCCAATACCATCCCTACAGTGAAGCATAGTGGTGGCAGCATCATGCTGTGGGGGTGTTTTTCAGTAGCAGGAACTGGGAGACTTGTCAGGATCAAGGGAAAAATGAATGCAGCTAAGTTCATTGAAATCCTTAATGAAAACCTACTCAGAGCACTCGAGATCTTCAACTAGGGTGACGCCTCATCTTCCAGCATTGCAATGACCCTAAGCACACGGCCAAGAAGGCAAAGGAGTGGCTTCAGGACAAGTCTCTGATAGTGATGTGTCCTTCAGTGCCGAGGCTTCGAAGTGTGTGTCGAGTAATGAATGGGGCGTTTCCGCGAAGCGCGTATCGAGGCTTGCTTCCTGTAGGGGAGGGGTCAAAAATGATGACGTCTGAAGCCTCGCTACCTGGCTGTGTCCTTCAGTGCCGAGGCTTCGAAGCGTGTGTCGAGTAATGAATGGGGCGTTTCCGCGAAGCGCGTATCGAGGCTTGCTTCATGTAGGGGAGGGGTCAAAAATGATGACGTCTGAAGCCTCGCTACCCGGCTGTACCACGTGACTGATTCAAGAAACGTTTCACGGGTTTGGTGGATGATTTGACAGGCAGCGAAACGCAATGGAGTCCTCCCCCACTCACAAGACATAGACTCGAGACTTGTTGAAGAGTTCTTTTATAATAAAAACAAATGAAATGTTTATGTTTTATATGTTGTCCCCATTACAAAAGTACACTAAAAAAACACACTAAGTAACACAAGTACATTCACATCACAACCCTCTTCATAATTTATGTCCTCTTCCCCTTTTTGACACTGCAACTGTGTCTTAAAGACAGACACCATATTAATAACTTCATCATTTCTGTATTGTATCACAAACACATGGCCTCACATCCATTTATTCATTCAATTCAAAGCTTCGTGCACCAAAGTCTCGGGGTGTCTTTTGTTTATCACTCTGCCTGTTTTACATTTACTGTCCACTT